CTTTTCTGCCTCATTGACATTATTATTATTATTACTATTATTATTATTATTTTGAGATGGAGTCTTACTCTGTTGCCCAGGCTGGAGGGCAGTGGCTCAATCTCAGCTCACTGCAACCTCCTCTTCCTGTGTTCAGACGATTTTCCTGTCTCAGCCTCCCAAAAAGCTGGGATTACAGGTGCACGCCACCATGCCTGGCTAATTTTTGTAGTTCTGGTAGAGACAGGGTTTCACCATGTTGGCCAGGCTGGTCTCGAACACCTGAATTCAAGTGATCCGCCCACCTCGGCCTCCCAAAGTGCTGGCATTACAGGTATGAGCCACCGCGTCTGGCCTAATTTTTTTTTTTTTCCCAATGCTTAGCTATGGTGGTGAGGAATATGAAGTTTGAGAGAGGTGGGTGTGGTATTAAAATTTTTATTAAGGAAACAAAAATATTGATTGAATTAAACTTATAGCTCAATTACAGCTCAACATATTTATTTATTTTGTAATATACTTTTCTTTGAGTTGTAATTCTTCCAAATCTGATGTTTATAAAGGGCTTAAAACATGATTATCATATATTTTAGAGTATGTCCTACTTCTTGTGATTTACTTGCCTATATTTTGCCAGGTGATCAATAATTTTTTTTTTTTTTAAATATCACTTGCAGATCGCGCAAAACAGTTGTCTAGTCAGAATTTTCCTGGTTGCAGATGACAGAAACCCAAATAAACTAACTGAAGCAGATAATGGTGCTTATTGGAAAGATCCTATGACTAACAGAATTAACAGAAGATAAGCAGGTATCATCTACAGGGACTTCAGTGACTGAAACTGCAGATAAAACACCATCAGCATTCTGCCCCCTTCATCAATTTTTCTTTTTTTTTTTTTTTCTCTCTACTTGGCTAAATCCTTTCCTACTGCAGTTTTCTCTCTCTCTCTCCAAGTTCTAATAGATGATATACTAAGGAAGGATTATGATTGGCCTGGATTGAGTCATAAGTCTAGTCTTAATTATTCTGCTTAGAGGAATAGGGAAATAGGATTGACCAGGTCTAGGCTACAGGTCCAGATCCATAAATTATCAAAACATTGTGACTGGAACTCCCTCATAATACGGTTTAAATGGGGAAGAAAATTTTTTTTTTAAAGGATGGAGAAGTATCTGTTACCATAAAAAAAGTGAAATAGTGCTGGGAAGATAGAACCCAATAAAGAAGACCCTAGTATTTTGAATTTTATAAAGTGTCTTTTTTCAGTAGACCACAAGTGTTTACAGTAAAAAATAAGATTTATTAAAAAAAAAAAAAGAAAGCAAATAATGAAAACGGGTAATAGAATTGTTCTTATTATCCTGTGTATTCATTAGGCTGGAGACTGCTCTCTGAAAATAGGAATAAATAGTTGCTCCTCGATAAACATCTTCTTGCCTACAGCATATATGACTGCAAACACATTGCCACTTCAATTTATCCAAGATTAGAAGGATGACAAAATAAAGCATCATAAATTCATTGCCAAAATCATGACTCTCTGTATTAAAAACTTCATAGCATGCCTCTTTCTGTATCTCTATTTCTACTTAATGGTGAAACTTTTGAATATCATGAATTCTTGAGCACGACAAGAATTTGTGAAAACTACTACAGAACACAAAGGAGTTGATGAGATACACTTTGGATACTTTCATAGATTTGTAGATTCTAATGAATTTTACTAAAAAGATTACAGTTCAAAAAGGAAGTATACATGGGTGATATCAATTTATATACGCAGTCATACAAGTGATTCTTCCTCTTTATAATTAAAAAGTCCATGAAAATATCCAGAATCATAATTTTAAATTCAGAGCACTACCTTCGTTAGACTCAATATAGATTGTGATGAACCTTCCCTTTCAACATAATGTGCTTTTGTAAGACAATAAGAAATGATTATATATACAAGAGGTTTCCTTCCCTTTTCAGTAAAGCTATTTCTCTTCAAAATGTTGACAGGATATTCAACAAATCTTGGATAGCTTGTATCATTCAGGCACCTAAAACAAGCTCATTTTGTCTTGTTTGTACCATGTATGAAATCTAAAATTTACTCAGAATTTGCTTAACCTTAAGATACATCACATGGAAAAAAAAAAAAAGGTAAAATAATTCCCCAAGGTATGTGGAAAAAAAAAAAAAAAATTCTTAAAAAAAAAAAAAAGAAAAACAAAATTGCAGGCGGGGTATTATTTGTAATAATACTACACTGCCACCTTGTGGAGTGACTGACCGAAAGCCAGTGAAATAAATGTCTCTGCCTGGTTTTCACCCCTAGAGGCTCAAACATGTCTCTTGAGGATTCAGGTAGGAGCTGTTACGTAAGTAATTTATAAATAACCACATAAATGGATACATTATAGTAGCAGATTACATTGCTTATGAATAAACTTTTTATAAGCAAATAGCCAATTATAATTAATTAATTTATAGATATATTTATTTTTAAATAATTATATGCTATGAAGTACATTTTACTTGGAAAACAGAAAATATTGAATTCAAGTCCTGCCTCTGCCATTACTAGTTGTTCATATTAAGATTTTATAGCTCCAATTTTTATTTTTTCAGAGAGAGTTATGCTTACATTGTATTTTAAAACATCATTTCTTGTGTGTATAATTCTCCATTTGTCATTCTGTGAGACATCCTTTGAAAAAAAATTTTCACATGCCAAGTATTTTCTAGGCAATATATTTGATGCTTGGAAATTGATGAGGAAATAAAAGCAAGCATGATATGGTATTATCTGTTTATGATGCTTAGTGAAAAGTCTTAGTAAAATGTCAGTTAAATTTAATTACAGTAAAATTTTGATATTTAGAAAAGATTTAATCCCCCAGTTAATAATAAGAATTATATATTTATTTCAAGGTCTGATTGTACTACTTACAATTATAAACCATGAGACAATTATGTAGAGTATCAGTAGATTATTTTAATTTCTTTTTCTAAAGATAATATATTTTGAAAACAATTGAAGTTATATAGCCATTGGAAACAAAATGGGCTCTGTAAAATGTAAATTTTATTTTTTTTTGCTTATTTTTTTTTTTTTTTTTTTTAAGATGGAGTCTCGCTCTGTCACCAGGCTGGAGTGCAGTGGCACAATCTCGGTTCACTGCAACCTCTGCCTCCTGGATTCCAGCTATTCTCCTGCCTCAGTCTCCTGAGTAGCTGGGATTACAGGCACCTGCCACCACGCCTGGCTAATTTTTGTATTTTTAGTAGAGATGAGGTTTCACCAAGTTGGCCAGGATGGTCTCAATCTCTTGACCTCGTGATCCGCCTGCCTCAGCCTCCCAAAGTACGGGGATTACAGGAGTGAGCCACCGCACCTGACTGTAAAATGTAAATTTTAAAAAGCAAAATGTTACTGCAATGTAAATATACCAGTAGCTTTTCCTGGGAATGGAAAATGTTTCACTAAATTTATACTCTTTCTGCATTTTTAATTATTTAAATATAACTAATATTATATTTACATAGAAATTCATTAGACTATTTCTGTTTGTGCTTAGAAGTGAAACATTCTAAAATACATTATGATTACATTTTTAGCCCACTTATTATATCAGATTTGGAAGAATTACTAAATTTTTTAAATTAAATCTTAATAGAGTTACTACTCTAATACTACAATGTCATAGATTAATGATCACGTATTGCATGGGCCTTAATGATTTGCAGAAGGACAGGTCTCCAGATGGCCTTTGCTGACCCAGTTCTTCTCCCTCTTGGTTACGATTATCAGACAGAATGTTCCAAGAGATTTGTAGATTCTGATGAATTTTACTAAAAAGATTACAGTTCAAAAAGGAAGTATACATGGGTGATATCCAAGAGGAACATTCTGAGATAAAGAGGAAATATGTGAAACAGCCCAGTTTGTGTCCTCATTTCTCCCAGAATACGATGTTCTACAGTGACTCAGCACAGTGACTCAGCTGGGGACTCTGGTATAACACCCAGAGCAAAGTGCTTTTGGAGTCCCTCAGCAGCAGAGATACATGGAGCACATGGTGATGAGACTCCATCTGCCCTGGGCAGTTGTACTGGGCCTTGGAAGACTAACTCACTATAGACCCAAGGCTTCTGTGTATCCTTGCTGCCTATATATGAGTAATATGTTTACTTCGCCTGACTTATGAAGAGTGTTCTTTCTCACTAGACCATACCTAAGAACCTTTGCTATGTTCCTTTAGTTAATCATGTATTTGCTTCCTGCCTCCTTCATGAAAAAAGTTTCTAGGCATCAACAATAGGCCACACAGGTTTTAGGTACAAGCTGTTTAATGGTGAGCAAGATGACAATAGCCCCTGCTTTTATGGAGATTACAGTCAGTCAAGAAGCAAATAAACTAAAATGCATGTATGCTGTGATGGGATAGATAATACAAGCGAATACAACAGAACATATCCTAACCTAGAAGGGCAAAGAAGGCATCCTGAAAGAAGTAGCCATTAAGTTATGCCAGAAAGATACGTGAGAATTATCTAGACTAAAAATAGAAATGGGAAATATTTCAAGAAGAGGTATTAGCATATACAGTCTTGGAGGCCAAGCAGAATTAGTGGGATTCAAGAAATTAAAAGGTGAGTGAGTACTGCTGGAGATTAAAGTGGAGGGGTGAAGTGACAAGAGGTGAATGTGGATACATGGGCAGGAGATAGTGAAGAGGGGTCCTGAAAATATAATGAAAAGTTTGAACATTATACCAAATACAACTTGAAAGCCCTGACATGATTCACTTTTCATTTTAGAGGAGCCACTCACCATCATTGTTGTAGACTATGTCGGATGGTTGAAAACTGGAGGGAGGCAAAACAGGCAGATGATGGGAAAAGGTCTAAGCAAGAAGCTATAGTGACCTAAACTCAGATGATCATGGTGGAGATAGAGAAAAGATGGGGGTTCCCTATGTGGACAGGTCATCGTGCAATTATCAGAGTCAGAGATTGCTGTGAGAGAAGGAAGTTTGTGGAGTTAGAAGGGCATAGAGAAGAATATGAACTAGTTCAGTTTTGGATGTGTTGAGATTTTTATAGGGCCAACCAACAAATATATCAAGTTAGAAGTTTGAAAAACAAAATGTATCTGTGCTTTCTCTTTCTCTCTACAGACAAATCATGGGAAAAACTGCCCATTTCTGTTTTGTCCACTTTGCTTTGTGAAGTGAGAGCTATATTCATTATCTCGTATCCCCTGGCATCCAACTCTGTAAGTACTGTGAATTCCACTGGCTCTTAATTCTTGAAACTTTTGGTGCACGACAGATTTTCTGGTCTGTTACCAAGGCCGTATACCAGAGAGGAAAGTCTGGGAAGAGAGAATGTAATAATTGATGAAGAAGTTTTTAGTTAATATACAAAATATACTTTTAATCTTCAGGCAAAATTGACATTTGTAAAATCACTGTAAAGATTTATTGATCCACAGAAGTTTTGCTACCATTAATATTTATAACTCCGAATGACAATGTCAAAGTCAATAGACACAGTCAACTACATCCAGTAGCAATAACATTAGCTTGAAGAAGTTTAATATAAAATCTTAAACAATTTTTAAATTGATTTAGACTGAAAGTAAAAGACTTTATTTTTGAAGAGTGTCATAAATGGAAGTTGTAGTATTTCTGGAAGTATAAGGCAAATCGTTTTATCAAAGAAAAACATTTTTTTTTCCAGAGGCATGTTTGAATGATAGAAATTGGGAAAATGAACAGTATTAAAGTGTCATAATTTCTTGATTTTTATTAATGCATTTTAATTAGTGACTATTACAGATACGTACTTCAGCGTCTGTATAATAAGTATATTACTTTAAACAATGGGCCTCATGGAGAAAGTATACCACTTTCTCATTCCAGCTATCACCTCAATATTTGCTTAACACTTCACTGTGAAAGTTAGAAATAATGGAATAAAATAAAAGCAATGTTTATTAAGTTACATCTGAGGCCAGCTTTTTGAATTGTATTCTTTTAGATTTTTACTAGGTTTTATAATTATTTTTTTCTCAATTTTTCTTAAAGAAGTAAATCTTTAAGAGACAGCTGGAGGGAGATACCTGGATCTTTCTCAATAATATTTTACATCATTTTACACCAGGGAAATCATTATCCGAATTTTTTTTGTTTCTTAAACATGTTTTTATATTTTTATTACAAATATATAAATATATAAATTATATTGTTCTCATTTTCATTTTAAATATTTATAGTTATTTATATTGCATATATCCAGCTTCAAATTCATATCATTGTTTGAGATTATGGATTTTTATTTATTTATTTATTTATTTATTTATTCTTTTATTTATTTGGAGATGGAGTTTCGCTCTTGTCCCAGGCTAGAGTACAATGTTGCTATCTCAGCTCACTTCAACCTCCACCTCCTGGGTTCAAGCAATTCTCCTGCCTCAGCCTCCAGAGTAGCTGGGAATACAAGTGTCTGCCACTACACCTGGCTAATTTTTGCATTTTCAGTGGAGATGGGACTTCACCACGTTAGTCAGTCTGGTCTCGAACTCCTGACCTCAGGTCATCCTCCTGCCTCTGCCTCCCAAAGTGCTCGGATTACAGGTGTGAGCCACCGCACCAGGCCGGTTTTATTTAACATTTATTTACATTAGCATGTGTAACTCTAGTTCACTTTGAAAGCTTATAAAATTTCACTGTATGATTATACTGCAGGTTAACCACTCTACTTTTGGTTGACATGTGGGAGGTTTTTCTTACATAGCTGTGATAAGAACTGTTGCATTGAATGGTCATTTACATGCCTCATTTTCACATATAGGTGAGATTCTTGGAGTTTTATACCTACGCGTGAAATTGCTAACACATTAAAATATGCATATTAAACTTTATCGTATATTAACAAGGTTGTGGAAAATGAATGAGTTAATTTATCTAATTGTATTTGGATGCCTCAGAATCTCAGATGTCTTTTCTTCTTTTTAAGTCCATTTCACTAATTTATAACTTTCAGAAAAACATATTTCACTTCTTTTGAAAACAAGTTCATTTGTTTTAATATCTGTCATAAATGTATCATGTCCTGATTCTTATTTGTGTCTTAGTAGGCTTTCTGTTACTAAAACAGTAAACATGGGACTGGACAATTTAAAAAGAATACAAATTTATTTCTCACAGTGCTGGAGGCCAGGAAGCTCAATATCAAGGTGTCAATTTCTGATGAGCGTCTTTTTGCTACTTTCTATAGTAGAAAGTTAATGAAAGAGCTAGAGAATGCTGTCAAGAGCAAGAGCAGAGGGAGCCAACTCATCTTTATTTTATTTTTTTTTAATTTTTGGAATGGGGTTTCGCTTTTATTGCCCAGGCTAGAGCGTGACGGCGCAATCTCGGTTCACTGCAACCTCTGCCTCCCAGGTTCAAGCGATTCTCCAGCCTCAGCTTCCCGAGTAGTTGGGATTACAGGCGCCCGACACCACAGCCAGCTATTTTTTTTCTCTTTATTATTTATTTATTTATTTATTTATTTATTTATTATTTGAGACGAAGTCTCGCTCTTTCGCGCAGGCCGGACTGCAGTGGCGCTATCTCGGCTCACTGCAAGCTCCGCCTCCCAGGTTCACGTCTTTCTCCTGCCTCAGCCTCCTGAGTAGCTGGGACTATAGGCGCCCACCACCACGCCCGGCTAATTTTTGTAACTTTAGTAGAGACAGGGTTTCACCATGTTGGCCAGGCTGGTCTCAAACTCCTGACCTCAGGTGATCTGCCTGCTTCCACCTCCCAAAGTGCTGGGATTACAGGCATGCGCCACCCCACCGGCCTCATCTTTTTTAAACAGGAATTTACTCCCTTGATAACTTACTCACTCTTGCAATATCAGCATTAATCTGAAAGCAGAGCCTTCATGATCTAATTACCTTTCAACAGCCCCATCTCTCAATATAGTTGCATTGGGGATTAAGTTCCAATAAATGAATTTTGGGGGACAACTCCAAACCATAGCAACATGTTTTTCTATGGCTGTTCTTATAGTTTACTTACTAATGTGTATTACTAATATAGTTTAAGTCTTTATTTTAATTGTGCTACATTTCGAACCTAAAGAGAACTACAGAAAATTATAAAAGACTACTTAACCTTCGTTTAAATTAATATACATCAAAATATAATTAGAAATAAAAAATTATACGAAAAATAAACTATTTTCATATTTTCTTCATGTCATTTTTATGGAAAGAAAAAGTTATTTATAAAGTTGAAACATTGTTATATTTTTCTTTAATTCCATTTCACTCTCTTCACTAAGGTGACAATCATTTTTCTGAATTTTGTGCATATCTATCTTTTTTCACTCAGCATTATACTTGAGATTGATTTGTCTTGATAAATTTAAACTCAGTTTATTTATTTTAATTGTCAAATATTATTCCCCTTTCTTAAAATGTTAACATTTGCTTATCCCGTTCTTTACTTCTGGGCAGTATAAAACCTCTGAGCTTTCTTCCCAGGATGCAAAGCCTTGGCTATGTCCACAGTCAACCTGGAATCACAACGGATTTGGTAGGGCTCTCTTTTGTCTCTTTCCCTGGCCACACCAAGTTGTTGAACTCTGCTAATTGCTATTGCTTTCAACAATGTCCTGGGAAATAAATTGTTTTGTAGACTGATCCAATGAAACTTGAGTTCCTTTGAGAGAATAGTTTTCCAGGTCAGTATTTGAGATTTGTTCGGGTCCCAAAAAGTGGCCTCCCGACTTTCTTTTTCCCCAGTTCTCCCAGACAAACTAGTTAGCCTGTAGCTTAGGTCATGTCTTCAAGGAACTACCATTCTCCTCCCAAGTGCCTTTCACCACAAGCTCCAATGATTTTGAGAATGCCCTTAGTCTTGAACTTCTACGGATTCAGTTACAAATGTTGTTTCCTAAGACGGGAGAAATTTGCAGCTCTCTGTTTTGTGGCCTGTTTTTTTCCAGTGCAAAATCTCTAAGCCATGGCTTTGTGTTGGGGGCAAGGACCATGGTGACCTTCTCTTGAATGACACTCTTCATTTAGGAGCTGAGTACATGATAGAAAGGGGCCACAGTTCCAAGTCTTCTTGACTTGGCTTTTCTAGTATAAAATCCCCACCCCAAAAGCTGGTGCAAAGAGGATTGGGGGACCCAGTATTTTTAACAGCATCACATCCCAAGCAAAGCCTCCATCCTGTGAGTGGAGTCTGCATTGGAAAAGGGAACACCTATCTCTTAATTGGTCTGCTTAGAACGTGGATTAGCAACAGGTAAATGACAGACTTTAACTTTTACTGATTTTTATTAGATATTTATTGAATATCATTAATTTTATTTTATTAATATTTTTAAACTATGTATTCATTTGCTGTGTACCTTTAAGACCATTTTCAAAGATTTTAAATGTCGAGGTCTCCGTGTGTGTGTATTTAAAAATAAATACGGTTCACTTTGTGGGGAAGTAGGTTTGCAGAGCTCCACCTGGTATCATGTCAGAATTGGAACTGCTACCCTAGGTAACTCTTAGGTGGAATCTCACAAGTTTCATACATAGAGTTTTAATTGTAGCTATCAACTAGATTGTGTCCCTCCAATTTTTTTTTGAGACCTTTAACCTTCAGTGTGACGATCTTTGGAGATAGGCTGTGCAGAGAGTTAATTAAGATTAAATGAAAATCATAAAGAAGGGGCCCAAATCTGAAATGGATGGTGCCTTCGGAGAAAGAGAAAGAGACAACAAAGCTGTCTCTCTCTACTATGTCAGGGCACAATAAGAAGGCAGCCATCCCCAGGCTACAGAGAGAGAGCACGTTTGCCAGAAATTTAATCAGCCACCACCTTCGTCTTGGACTTCCCAACCTCCAGGACTGTGAAAAATTAATTTATGTGGTTAAAGCCACTCAGTCTGTGGTATTTTGTTGTGGCAGCCTGAGCAGACAAACAGTTATTATTTAATTACTTAAGTGTATATTTTATAATTGCTGTATTATTTATTTCTTTTTCTATAAATTATGTACACACCTTTGTTTTATTATATTATTTAATGGGAATTAGATATATAGAGTTGAGTTACTTGCTATCCTCCTTCATAGCACGGTGTCATAATTGGTTTATGCACAACCTCTCACTTATTTTGGGACCATTTATATTATTTTAATTTGCTGTTACATTCCAGAAGCAAATGTGTATTTCTTTCTTATCATAAATATCCTGCTTAATAGATTTGATAAATGCATT